ATTCAGCTACATCTACTAGCATATTTAGCTACATCTACTAGCATATTCAGCTACATCTATTAGCATATTCAGCTACATCTACTAGCATATTTTGCTATTTAATTGACTCGGTTCTTCTGACAGTGAAGTGATGAACAACCTGAAAAGCTCTGAGGTGTATTAGTAACTACACAGTAATAAGGTTGGTGGTGTTTTGTTAAAAGAGGTGGGACACAATCTTATTTACCTTAAAGCAGACACAGAGCACAGCCAAAGACTTAAAGTCCTCCATCACCGAGCTTGGGTTAATTGCAGAGAAAATCATAAAACTGAAGACAAAAAAAGAACTATAATGCTGTACCCTCCATACACTTGAAATCATACCTGAACTTCTCATCACACTGTTTTCAATCCTTCTGAGGGTCCGCTGTCTCTTCTCCAGTGGTTTATCATACTCCAGCCACAATGTAGAATGCAGGTTTTCCTTCATCGTCTGTTTGTCAACAAAGTGAAATGAGCTCACATGCAGCGTTTTGGGTGGTCTCTTTAAGTTCACATTTTTCAGCCACATTCTTCTTAATTCCTCATCTGTAGGTAGGTGATGGAAACTACACCTCTTTTCACAAGAACACTCTTTTTGTTTTGGGTCCGTGTTCAAACTCTGTTGTTGTAGCCACTGATTTAGTTTGGTCTGGTTGTTCAAGCAGTCGTGAACACAACAGGTACCTGAACTCAGCACGCCTATTTTAGTAAACTTTATGGTTGTTAAATAAATGTTATCAAAACAAAAACAGTATTTTATCTGCTAAACTGAATGCAAATTACGTTCAAATAAACCGCGGTCCATGCTTCGTAACCATGGTTAACTAGTTGTTTGTTTTTTAGCTTACTGCTACTTCCTGAATGGCAGGAAGTTGTGCCCATCATCATTTATACAGTATAGCCCCCAGGAACAAGGTGGATAGACTCACGTGGAAAAGTTGGGGCATGCCTTGCCCAAACTCTTGCTAATATCTGTAATTAGTGAGTAAAAGATGAGCAGATGTCTATTAAATCTCAGAATTTTTCTCATACTTTGCCCACAAAATGCTTCAACTTCAGAGATTTTTTTGAATGTTTGACCTGCATTTTGTATGTCTGTTTACCCAAAAAAGTTCAATCTGGTCCTCTGGACATAAAAAAAAAATAAATAAATAAAAATCAACAAAACAAAGCAAAAAAATGTAGAAACGTTTCGTCTTTCATCCGAAAGACTTCCTCAGTCTGAGGTGCTATATTCAGCTCAGTCTCTTAAATAGCACCTTCTCAGAGTGGATCAACCAGTTTGCTGCTGACAACCAAAACCAGCAGCTCACATGCTCAAGAAGTTGGCAGCTCAGAACACCACATACAGAACACCATGGACTTTGTGGATAAGGTGAGGGATGTCATCATGGAGACTGATGAAACAATGGTCTCTTTTGATGTCACATCACTCTTTACGTGCATTCCTGTTGATGATGCAGTAGAGGTGGTCAGTTTAAAATTAAAATCAGACACCACTCTGAGCAGCAGGACCACACTTTCCACAGAACAACTGTGTCAACTCTTGAAACTGTGCCTGCAGTCAACCTACTTCACATATGGGGAGCAATATTATAGGCAGAAACATGGGTGTGCTATGGGGTCTCCAGTTTCTCCTATTGTTGCCAACCTGTACATGGAGGAGGTAGAAAAGAGAGCCTTGACGTCCTTTTCAGGGACACCACCAAGTCATTGGTTCAGGTATGTTGACGACACCTGGGTTAAAATTAAATCTCAGGAAGTCCAACATTTTACTGACCACATCAACTCTGTGGATAAATACATCAAGTTCACATGAGAAGATGTAAAAAATAGCAAGTTGGCTTTCTTGGACTGTGAGGTCTCAGTCTCTGATAGAGGACATTTGCAAACTGAGGTGTACCGCAAACCCACCCACACAGACCAGTATTTGCAGTTTGACTCCCATCACCCTTTGGAGCACAAGTTAGGAGTCATCAGGACTCTGTACCACAGAGCAGACAGCATCCCCACTAACTCAGGAGCCAGGCAGAAGGAGAAATCCCACACAAGACAGGCTCTAGAGCAATGTGGATATCCTAACTGGGCCTTCCTGAAAGCAGAGAAGAAACCCAAACAGGACTCCAGTCAGCCAACAGGTTAAAAGAAGGAACCCAGACCAGTGGTCATTCCATATGTTGAGGGAGTATCAGAGAAACTGAGACGTTTATTTTCTAAACATAACGTCCCAGTGGCTTTTAAACCCCAAAATACATTAAAGACTGGTTCATCCCAAAGATCCAGTCCCCCGGCACAAACAGAGTAATGTTGTGTATGCTGTTCAGTGTCAGGAGGGCTGTGATCAGTCTTACATCGGGGAAACAAAACAGCCACTGGCCAAAAGGATGGCCCAGCACAGAAGATCAACATCATCAGGCCAGGACTCTGCGGTCTACACTCATCTCCAGGCCAGCGGTCACTCTTTCAGGGATGAAGATGTTCACATCCTGGACAGAGAGGAACGATGGTTTGAGAGGAGTAAAGGAGGCCATCTTTGTGAAAAGAAACCGTCCATCATTAAACAGGGGTGGAGGCCTCCGGGTTCAACTGTCCCCCTCTTACAATGCTGTGATTGCTAGTATCACTCAGCCCTCTGTGAATAGTAAACAGCCATCAGTGTGCTAATGATCCATTGTTAGGCTGATGGTCCTTCTTGAGCATGTGATCAGCTGGTTTTGGTTGTCAGCAGCAAAACTGGTTGATCCACTCTGAGAGGTGCTATTTAAGAGACTGAGCTGAATACAGCACCTCAGACTGAGGAAGTCTTTCGGATGAGAGACGAAACGTTTCTACATTTTTTGTTGCTTAGTGTTTTTTTGTTTTTTTTCAATGTCCAGAGGGCCAGATTGAACTTTTTTGGATTTTTCTACCTGGATTATTGAGCATGCATCAGGATATGTCTGTTTACCATTTTTCTGGTGATTTTTAGGTCAGTTTGAAGGTTGTCATGGAAATGATTTCCCACTTTTGGCTTTATTTTTATTTATTTATTTATCTTACAATTTGTATTATATAGTTAATGAAGGGGCAGCACGGTGACACAACTGTTAGAGCTGCTGCCTCTCAGCGAGCAGGTCCTTGGTTCAAACCCCGGTCCAGGGGCCTTTCTGGGTGGAGTTTGCATGTTCTCTCCGTGCATGCGTGGGTTTTCTCCGGGTACTCTGGTTTCCTCCCACAGACCAAAAACATGCATGTTAGGCTGATTGGTAACTCTAAATTGTCCCTAGGTGTGCGTGAGAGAGTGAATGGTTGTTTGTCTCGTTTGTCTCTGTGTGTCCCTGTGATGGACTTGCGACCCGTCCAGGGTGTACCCCGCCCCTCGCACAGTGATTGCTGGACATGGGCACCAGCGACCCCCGTGACCCAAAATGGAATAAACGGGTAAAGAAAATGGATGGATGGATGGATAGTTAATGAAGATGCTAATAATTAGGCTTAAAGAAAGGGAAATTCTGTCTTTTTTATTTATTTTTATTTTTTTAATTTATATATATATTTTTTCTTTCTCGCTCTCTTGAATTTGAACTCTCTCTTGAAATAACATTTGGAGAGGTTCTCGATCAAAATGTTCTAAATCAGTTTTACAAACTTGTTTTAAATTTTGACAGTTTTGAGCTGTTCTGACAACACATCTCAGACCAACTTCATGATAGCCACTCAAACAGTTGTTTAAACTTTCGAAATTTTTTCCCGGCAATCTGTCTTGGGCAACCATGTCAGGGACATTCAAAAGTGTTCAATACAAAAACAACTGGACTTTATTTGTAACAGAAGACGTTTCGCCCCTCATCCGAGGAGCTTTCTCAATTCAAAGAGCAGTGGGTTCAGGTTATAAGGCTGAGTGAGATAAGATACACATATATATGTAGATTGACAAATCACACCTCACACCTTAACAGTAGGGGTTTCTTAAGGTCTTTGTTCCTCTAATTCACACATGAGACCCCTCTGTTCCCATCAAGTGTGAAAACTGCCTGGGAATCAGTCTTAAAGTTGCATTATATGTTTTTAAAAATTGAAATCTGAGGCCTCCTCCTCTGTTAAGAGATGTTTTTTCTCTTTTTACTGCTTCCTTCACCCCCCTCTCAAACCATCTGTGTTCTCGGTCCAAAATGTGCACATTCTGGTCCTCAAAGAGTGTCCCTTATCTGTGAGGTGGAGGTGAACAGCTGAGTTTTGTCCAGAGGAGGTGGCTCTCCTGTGTTGAGTCATGCGTCTGTGAAGAGGCTGTTTAGTTTCCCCAATGTAGAGGTCTGGACAGTCCTCGCTGCACTGGAACACATACACTACACCACTCTGTTTGTGTATGGGTGTTTTGTCCTTAGGGTGGACCAACCTCTGTCTGAGAGTCCTGCTGGGTTTGAAATGTACTGGGATGTTGTGTTTGTTGAAAATCCTTCTGAATTTCTCTGATACTCCAGCAACATAAGGGATGACAATGTTTTTCCGTCTGTTCTTCTCCTTTTTCTGGTTATTAGTGTGTTTTGTAGATTTCCTCACTGACTTGACAAAAGTCCAGTTAGGATATCCACATGTTTGAAGAGCTTTTTGGATATGTTTCTGTTCCTTTTCCTTCCCTTCTGTCTTTGTGGGGACGCGTTCGGCCCGATGTTGTAAAGTTCTGATGACAGAGAGTTTGTGTTCCAGTGGATGGTGGGAGTCAAACAGAAGATGCTGGTCTGTGTGGGTTGGTTTTCTGTAAACTTCAATGTTGAGGTTGTCATCTCTTTCCATCTGAACCAAGCAGTCCAAAAAAAGTAGCTTGTTGTCGTTTGCATCCTCTCTGGTGAACTTGATGTTGTTATCGACCGAGTTAATGTGTCTGGTGAACACTTCTATTTCCTTGGCTTGGATTTTGACCAGGCATCCCCAGGAGCTAACCCCAGGAGAAACCCTTGTATCATATGTTGTGACTTCTCTTTTCACTTGCATACCCATTTCTGAAGCACTAGAAACCATCAGAAAACAACTTGTACAAGACAAGGACTTAACAGGACTAACTTCACCCCAGACCTGCACCCTGTTGGATCTCTGCCTCTCCACCACTTATTTCAAGTTCAATGAAAGTTTTTACAGACAGAAGCACGGCTGTGCCATGGGATCTCCAGTGTCACCCATTGTTGCCAATCTCTACATGGAGGAAGTGGAACAGAGAGCCCTAAACTCCCATGTGACAAGATCTGGGTTTTGGATCAGCAGCATCAACAACAAGCCCAAGAGCAGTTTAACAATTTTATTGTGAACAGGAAAAACTCTGGTGGAGGTCTGGGTCCTGGGCCAGGTCCAATCTGTCAAGACAGAAGAGTTAGTGGCTTTGACTAAGTTCTGGACGTGCAGGTGAATGTTGGTGTCTGCACTAACCTTCTGTCTTGATGTTGCAGCAGAGTCTGTAGTCACACTGCAGTTGGTGATGTCCCTCCAGAAGAGCAGGTTGCTGCAGTGGAGCAGATTAAAGGACTTGAGGTCCAGAATAGGGAAATCCAGAATTGTGGTCTGTGAGTCGTTGCAGGGGTCAAAAACCATAGAAGAGGAGAAGCGAGAACAGGGCCGAGTCGTGATCCAAAAGACATGGTCAAAAATGGAAAGGCACAGAGTCAGAAACCATGGGCAGATAGGCAGACAAAATCCAAGAGGGTTCAGGCAAGGCGAGGAGTCAAAAACAGGTGAGGAGTCATGGCAAGAGACAAGATCAGGTATGCTGGATTTCTACTGCTTGAAAGGTTTGAGAATCTGGCACTGACTGAGTGAATGCAGGGTGTTTAAGTATGGTGGAGAACAGGTGTAGAGCATGAGCTTGATTGCGGGGTGAGAGTGAGTGACAGGAACAGGCAGAGCTTGGCAGGAGAAAACACAAAAACGACAGGCTGTGAGGGGCAAAAGCATGACACTATGAGGAAACAACGCCAAGCCACTGGTTCCAATATGTGGATGATACCTGGGTCAAAATCCTAGCCAAGGAAATAGAAGCGTTCACCAGACACATTAACTCGGTCAATAAAAACATCAAGTTCACCAGAGAGGATGCAAACGACAACAAGCTGCCTTTTTTGGAATGTTTGTTTCAGAGGGAAAGAGAGGACAACCTCAACATTGAAGTTTACAGAAAACCAAACCAGTATCTTCTGTTTGACTCCCACCATCCACTGGAACACAAACTCTCTGTCATCAAAACTTTACAGCATCGAGCCGAACGCATCCCCACGAAGACAGAAGGGAAGGAAAAGGATCAGAAACACATCCAAGAAGCTCTCCAAACATGTGGATATCCTAACTGGGCTTTTGTCAAGTCAGCAAGGAAATCTACAAAACACACTAATAAACAGAAAAAGGAGAACAACACACAGAAAAACATTGTCATCCCTTATGTTGCTGGAGTATCAGAGAAATTCAGAAGGATCTTCAACAAACACACCTTCCCAGTACACTTCAAACCCAGCAGGACTCTCAGACAGAGGCTGGTCCACCCTAAGGACAAAACACCCATACACAATGAGAGTGGTGTAGTGTATGCGGTCCAATGCAGCGAGGACTGTCCAGACCTCTACATTGGGGAAACTAAACAGACTCTTCACAGACGCATGGCTCAACACAGGAGAGCCACCTCCTCAGGACAAAACTCAGCTGTTCACCTCCACCTCATGGGGAGTTACCTTTGGGGAGTGGTGGCGCAGAGGTTAGAGAAGGTGGGCCTGTGATCAGAAGATCACTGGTTCAAGCCCCGGTACCAACAACATCAAAAATGTGGGTGGGGTAGGTGAAGCACGACAACCTGCCCCCACCCTCATTCGCCCCACTCTGGGCCCATGAGCAAGGCCCTTAACCCCCATCACCCACCCTCATCCCCCAATCCCTAAACAGGTCTCTCTTGAAAATGAGTTCTCGTGGCTCAATGAGACTACCTGTATAAATAAAGGGTAAATTAAAAGAAATGGATAAGGGACTCTCTTTTGAGGACCAAAATGTGTACATTTTTGACCTAGAACACAGACGGTTTGAGAGTTGGGTGAAGGAAGCAATTTATGTTAAAAGACAGAAACCATCTCTTAACAGAGGAGGAGGCCTGAGATTTCGACTTTCAAAAACTTATAATGCAACTTTAGGACTGATTCCCAGCCAGTTTTCACACCTGATGGGAACAATTAAATTCAACTCAATTCAGTTTATTTATATAGCGCCAAATCACAACAAAGTTCTCTCAGGCCACTTTACAGGAACATTCACATACATAAAAGCCAATTAGTAAAGTTCTCTATCTAAGGAACAGCGGGGCCTTATCTGTGAATTAGAGTAACACAGACCTTAAGAACCCCCTACTGTTAAGGTGTTGAGGTGTGACTTGTCAATCTACATATGTATGTGTATCTTATCTCAGCCTTATAACCTGAACCCCTCACTCACTGCTCTTTGAATTGAGAAAACTCCTCGGATGAGGAGCGAAACGTCTTCTGTTACAAAGTCCAGTTGTTTTTGTATTGAACATTTTAGAATTTACCTTGTTCTGGATGACTGATAATCTTCACCAGCACACGTCAGGGACAATTGCCCCAACATCATAGCTCCTAGGATCATTCTGGCACAAACTCCCCACCAACAAGGTGACATTTCATAGAGGAGTGGTCCACCACCTTGCATGCCACAATTTTAAACAAAGGTCTTGCATAATAAAGTTTTGCTTTCACATGTGCAACAATACTGGAACAAACAAAAAGCATGTTAATGAATCGTGACAAGTGTTTTTCATTATAGGTGACCCACTGGGACGAGGGGCATTTGGTCAGGTGGTAGAGGCGGCTGCATTTGGGATTGAGAAAGCTACCACCTGCACAACTGTTGCAGTGAAAATGCTGAAGGGTCAGTTTGTCCTTCCTTTTCTTTCATACAAACATTATGCACAGTGAAAACTCTTGGGCTTCTGTTGTGGAAAAAAGGAGATTCCCAAAACAGATCAAGGTGTAGTTCATCAGATTTATTCACAAAGCTTTGGAGAGCAGTGCTTCACAGAACATGCAAAATACAAGATTACTGTCACGATCCTCGAGGTTGGAACCCAATTGCAGGGAGGCGAGTGAGGCAGGAGTTTAAAATAAAAATAATTTATTTTAAATAACAAAACAAAAGGCTGTCGGTGCAGCAAAACTTACTTTGGCAGACAGGATCAGAAACTAGGCAGAGCAGATCATCAGATGGACAAAAAACTGACAAGACAGAGGAGGACTGAGAAATCTGTGAACACAGAACAATCACCGGACAAGGAGTGAAGGAGAGAAAGGCTTTTTATGAGACAGAGGGAGAGTGAGTAATGAAAGCACCTGGGCAGGTGGCTGATGAAGGACAGGTGCGAATGATAAAGACTGAGTGGAGAGGCAGACTGAGGATTGAGTGGAAAATAACAGAATCAGATAAACAGAAAATCACACACAGAGCAGAACAACAAAAATATAAAGAGCAGACAGAGACAGAACCTTGAAATGGAAGGAAATGATTTAGTTTGTGGGATGATTGTTTGAAGATATTAATGTTGGTTCCTGGTTGCAGCTTGAAGGAGAAGGCAGAGGCTTAGGCAGATGGGGGGGCAGCGGGGGCCGCTGACCGTGACAGTTGGTTCCTGGTTGCAGCTTGAAGGAGAAAGCAGAGGCTTAGGCAGATGGGGGGGGGGCAGCGGGGGCCGCTGACCGTGACAATTACACTCTTATCAGCATTCTCATCTATGTGAAACCCTGAGCTGCTCTAACTCTCTGGACCGGACAAAATAGTTTTATAGAGAAATCTTCTAGCCTAGGCTTTATCTCCTCTCCTCCATGTTTTGAGCCATTATCGAAAGGTCCGCTTGCAAACAGGAAAGAGTGGACTTCCTGAGACATATCAACATATTATATCAACTCTATCATATCAATGTCATCAATCAACCCTTTAGGAAATCAAAACAACCAGTTCTTTCTGTTCCTCACTGATTTGTCACAGTAGGCATGATCACATGGGACCGTTAATATCACACATCATAACATGAGCAGAAGGACATTACAGAACATTCCCACAGGAGAGGTATTGATCATGACAAGTGCAAATAATACACATTACACTGACACTTCTCTCACTGTGCCATAGAGGGAGCCACTTCCAGCGAGTATCGTGCCTTGATGTCAGAGCTAAAAATACTCATTCACATTGGCCATCATCTAAATGTTGTCAACCTGCTTGGAGCCTGCACCAAACCGGGGGGTGAGTCTTCATCTGTTATACTTATGGTGGAGAGTATTATCTTTTTTGTATCACCCATGCTTTCTGTTTTATTTCTATCAACTCTGCTCCTGTTCATCCCTGCAGGGCCGCTGATGGTGATTGTTGAGTACTGTAAACATGGAAACCTATCCAGCTACTTAAAGAGCAAACGTGGAGAGTACAGCCCCTATAAGGTCAGTGTGTAACCCACAATTAGTCATTCAGTCCACATCACTCTACAGGACTCAGTTCGTCCATCCATTCATCCATTATCTTCTGCTTGTTCCGAAGTCGGGTTGCTGGGGCAGTAGCTTGAGCAGGGAGGCCCAGACATCTCTATCCACAGCCAGCTCTTCTAGCTCTTCTGTGGGGACCCCAAGGGGTTCCCAGGCCAACCCAGAAACATAGTCTCTCTAGCATGTCCTGGGTCTTCCCCAGGGTCTCCTCCCAAATCAGACATGCCCGAAACACCTCCCTAGGGAGGTGCCCAGGGGGCATCCTTGCCAGATTCCTGGACCACCTCAACTGGCTCCTCTCAATGTGGAGGAGCAGCGGTTCTACTTCGAGTTTCTCCCGGATGACTGAACTTCTCACCTTATCTCTAAAGAAAATTCTAGCTACCCTGTGGAGGAAACGCATTTCAATCGCTTGTATCCATGATTTCATTTTTTCGGTCACTACCTAGAGCTCATGACCATAGGTGAGGGTAGGAACATAGACTGACCAATAAACAGAGAGCTTTGTCTTAAGCTCAGCTCCATCTTTACCACAACGGACCAGTACAGAGTCCGCAATACTGCAGACACTGCACCAATCCGTCTGCCAATCTCACGGTCCATTCTTTCCTCACTCCTGAACAAACCCCCAAGATACTTGAACTTCTTCACTTGCGGCAGAACATCACCCTCGACCTAAAGAGAGCAAACCACCCTTTTCTGACTGAGGACCATGGCTTCAGATCTGGAGGTGCTGATTCTCATTCCATCCGCTTCGCGCTCGGATGCAAACAGCTCCAGTGAGAGCTGAAGATCACGGCATGATGATACCAACAGGACTACATCATCTGCAAAGAGCAGAGATAGAATCCTGAGGCCACCGAACCAGAATCCCGCCGCCCCATGACAGCACCAAGATATTCTGTCCATAAAAGTTATGAACAGAATCGGTGACAATGGGCAGCCCTGGCGGAGTCCATCTTCCACCCTGAAGGGGTCCGACTTACTGCCGGCAATGCGAATCAAACTCTCGCACCGCTTTCATGGGGACCGAACAGCCCGTAACAAAGGCCCCCCAATCCCATACTCACGGAGTACCCCCCACAGTGTACCCCGAGGAACACGCTCAAATGCTTTTTCCAAGTCTACAAAACACATGTAGACTTGATGGGCAAACTCCCATGACTCCTTGAGGACCCCAGTGAGGGTAAAGAGCTGATCCAGTGTTCCATGGTCAGGACAGAACTCATATTGTTCCTCAGTGCTGCAATTGATACAGTTGATCACAATATTCAACTAGAGAAACTTGAATATGATATTGGAATTATAAGAATGGCTCTAAAATGGTTTAAATCATATTTTTCTGATAGATTCCAATTTATAAATGTAAATCATGAATCTTCATCACACACCAAAGTTAGTCATGGAGTTCCTCAGGGTTCAGTTCTTGGATCAATACTCTTTATGTTATATATGCTTCCATTAGGTAAAGTTAATAAACAGCATGGGATACATTTTCATTGTTATGCTGATGATACACAAATATATTTGTCCATAAAACCCAATGAATCTGATCAGCTACTTAGACTAGAAGCATGGACATAAAAACCTGGATGACCCTGTTTTTATTTATTTTTTTGCTTTGGAATACAGACTTGAGTCTGAGGTTTTGGTTTTTGGACCCGAGCATCTTAGGAATAAATTGTTCAGTCTTTCACCCTTCTTGGATGACATTAATCTGTCCTCCAACTCTAATGTTAAAAATCTTGGTGTTATTTTTGATCAGGACATGTCTTTTATCCCCCACATTAAAAACATTACTAGAATTGCCTTCTTCCACCTGTGTAATATCACTAACATTAGAAACATCTCATCTAAAAATGATGCAGAAAACCTGGTTCATACATTTGTCACGTCTAGACTGGACTATTGCAATGGTTTATTATCTGGGTGTCCAAATACTTCTTTAAAACGTCTTCAGTTGATCCAAAATGCTGCTGCTAGAGTCTTAACTGGAGTTACTGGGAGAGATCATATCTCTCCAGTTTTAGCTTCTCTCCATTGGCTCCCTGTCAAATCCAGAATAGAATTCAAACTCTTACTTCTAACCTACAAAGCTCTTAACAACTTTGCTCCATAGTATATTACAGATCTTATTGTTCCATATTTTCTTAACAGAGCACTTCACTCTCAGACTGCAGGTTTACTTGTGGTTCCTAGAGTTTCCAAAATCAGAATGGGAGGAAGATGTTTCAGTTCTCAGGCTCCTCTCTTGTGGAACCACCTTCCAGTTTCTGTCCTTAAGGCTGACACATTGTCCAGTTTTAAGACTGGGCTTAAGACTTTTCTTTTTGATAAATCCTGTAAGTAGAGTTGGTTTGTTATGCTGTCTTAAGCTTAGACTACTAGAGGACAAATTGACCTCATTTAATTTAATGAATTGCTAAAATTGAATAGTTTTCATTTGATACTATTTTTATCTTAACATGTGGTTCTTGACCTGCCATTGTGTATCTGTTCCTATAAAACCCAGCCGGTCGAAGCAGATGGCTGCTTGTCCTGAGCTGGTTCTGCTAAAGGTTTCTTCCTCGTGAACATGCAAACTCCACCCAGATAGGCCCCCAGCCGGGATCGATCTGGCAACCTTCTTGTTGAGAGGCAACAGCGCTACCAACTGAGTCACTGTGCCACCAAGCACAGATGTACAGAATAACATTTATTTCAGCAGATTACTCATCTGCACCTTACTTCTGCTTCACTTGCAAAATAACCTCAAATATAACAAACAATCCAAGAGCCCAAACTATGCAAGACAAGAAAAGAACACTTGATGCTGGATTCAAACCTGAGCCACATTTTTCAGCACATTTTACTTAGTGCATTAGCGCAGTAGTGACAGTAAATATTTCAGTGTCAGGTTTTCCTATTTGCCAGTGATCAAGTTAGGCTTGAACTGTGTGGAAGTAATCTGATTGTTTATAATTACTTGGAGCCAAATAGATTGAGACTGCTGTAAGCCACCAGTTGATAGTCACTGATTTAACAGATGTTTTTTTTTGTCCCTCAGAAAGGAGGTTGAGGAGCATTAAGTGTAGAACCACTAGACTGAGGAACAGCTTCTACCCTGAGGCTGTTAGACTCATGAATCTCTAACTAGAATAACCTCTGTGAAAAATCACATCATGTTGCTGCTGATCTGTTTCATGTTGCTGCTGATCTGTTTCATGTTGCTGCTGATCTGTTTCATGTTGCTGCTGATCTGTTTCATGTTGCTGTGTTCATTCGTGCTCATTTGCTCACACAGACTCATGTTCGGCGTATTGTGTTTACTGTTTTTATGATGCTTTTTGTGCTTGGCGTATTTTTAGCTGATGTTTTGCTTAGTTATATCTTAGATCTTATTAAATGATAAATGGACTGTACTCCTATAGCGCCTTTCTATCTGATCAAGATACTCAAAGCGCTTTACACAACAATCTGTGCCTCATTTATCCATTCATGCAGCACTCTACTAGATCTATACAAAGATAATTGAACAAATCATTCTAATGAGACTAAATAGAGCTTTATCACGTTCATACATCGATGGGACACACACCAGAGGCAATGAGGGGTTCAGTGTATTAGTGTTTTTCTTTCACATTTTATTATTGGATGTAACTGGGACCCTGTGTACATCATTTCTTTCCACCACCTGTACCACATGTGGTGCAAATGACAATAAAGAATCTCTGAATCTCTGAATCTGACTCTTAAAAAAGCAAATTGAAGGTGAAAAACAATAACCTAGCTATCTCCATTTTTGTTTACCTGATGCTCCCACTGTGGTGAACAGAGAAAGCGGGTGAACAGCCAGAGGTGGACATCTGCTGAGGACGATGTGACTGGAGGGGATCTAGGTTTGGAAAAGGTTGCTCAGCTGGACATCTGCACAGGAACAGCTGAAGACAGAACTTCAGGCACCACTACAGACTCTCCTGAAGGTAAACACAATAACACTTTTCATTTTTGCATCCTACTGAATTCTTGTGTGTTGTTATTGGACCAGGCCTCACCTTTGTGTAAATAAAATGTGTGATTCTAGAGAGTTCAGTTGATGATCATCTGACCATGGAGGATCTGATAAGATACAGCTTCCAGGTTGCCAAAGGAATGGAGTTTCTGTCCTCTCGCAAGGTGAAACCTCTGGTGTCCTGGGCTTGTATCGTAACAAAACTCTCTCTATGATTCCTTTACTGTACATTCCTCTATGTCTTCTGTAGTGTATCCACAGAGATCTAGCAGCCAGAAACATACTCCTCTCAGAGAACAACGTGGTGAAGATTTGTGACTTTGGTCTCGCTAGAGATGTTTACAAAGATCCTGACTATGTCCGCAAGGGAGATGTGAGGCCTCCATGCTGATTTATGGACACGCAATCACAACATTAAAGTAGAGAGTGCAAAAAAAATAAAAAAAACATTTTTCTGGTTGCTATAGGCTCGCCTCCCTCTGAAATGGATGGCTCCTGAAACTATTTTTGACCGAGTTTACACCACACAAAGTGACGTTTGGTCTTTTGGGGTTCTTCTTTGGGAGATCTTTTCCTTGGGTAAATCTAAACCTAATAACATATTTTACATACATAGCTAGTACTTTACACCTGACCAATCACCTGTTTCATAATCTCTGCAGGGGCATCACCCTACCCAGGAGTTTGCATTGATGAGTCATTTTGCAGGAGGCTCAAAGAAGGCACAAGGATGAGACCTCCAGAATACGCCACCACTGAAATGTGAGTTCAAACTTCCAATGATAGCAGAACAGTTCACAACAAAGTTGTTACTTCATCATCTGTTATTTTACTGAGGTCAATCATACACATGTAATTAGATACCAGACCATGTTGGACTGCTGGATGGCGTGTCCTACAGACAGACCCATATTTGCAGAACTGGTCGAACATCTGGGAAATCTTCTGCAGGCCAGCGCCCAACAGGTTTGTCGAAACAAAAGATTTATGAGTCCACCCATAACTATATCCTTCATTTTCAGTTGTCCCCTCTGTAAAACAAACACAAACATTCTCCTGTGAGTCTACAGCTTCATCAACTATTTTCTTTAAATATAAACTTAAAGATTATCTTGATTAAATGTTAGTCCACGTCTTTCTCTATGTTGGTACAGTTAGTGTGCTCCAAATACTTACAGCTGAAACAACAATTTCACACGAAAATAATCTGTCGTCATTTTCTGAATCTGAAACAAACAAAAATACTCAGAAATGTAATTACAATAATGGAAACACCCGTTTCCTTAATAAGCTAATAACGGAACTAGTTAAAGAGCTGTGAGTTTCAGGTAAAATGATCCATTCTTGTTATTTAGGATGGGAAGGATTACATTCCACTGACAGCCATTGAAGCAGAAAAATGTTCATTGTCCATGGACCTTAGCTGCCCGTACAACCAGCCTCAAAGTGGGACAATCCTAGAAACTCACTACGACAGCCCATCGTCTCTTGGGTTAGTATGATTCTATGGCCGGTCTGCTTCACCTGCTTCTCCTGAGAGTTAAACACCGCGCACCTGTCCACTGTGTGCAGACTGTCCCAGCAGAGTGAGAGATGCAATCAACCCCTCAGCCTGAAGACCTTTGAAGACATCCCTGTGGCGCAGAGCAGTGTCATGGTGAGAAGAATATTTTGTTTGTGCTGACGTATCCCCCCTGTTGCAGGATTTTCTTGAAAAAACAAACAAACAAACAAACAAACAAAAAAACATCAGGAATGTGTCAATTTTTTTACAAGGCAATATTTAGCAGCTGCATTCTTGCACAAACTGCATGATCACGAGACAATCCATGTTTAAGCTATTTTATTCCCCACAATCAAAGACTGGCACAGCAATCTGTGCTTTTCTTTTTTACCTGACAAATTAAATCCTTTTTGTGAAGGGCCGGTATTTATAAATGACTTAAAAAGTAAAAGTGGAACATTGTCTAAAACCCAACATTTTTCAGTCAGGTCATCTGGACAGTTTCTTTTTTTTCTGAAATGTTTTAACTTCCATCCAGAAGGCTTCATCAGTCAAGGAAACACACAACACAAAACTGATTCTTCCCCCAAACAGCTTACTCCAAAGTGGAACAAACCAGTTATGTTGGTGCTAAGATGGTGTCTTTGGCACGCCCCATCCTCCAGTGCCGGCCCTCGATCTAAAACCTTTGAAAAATAAAAAGACAAATGTGTCTTTTCCATGTTGTTTGGAGGGCACTCTCACTGCAGTGAGATTGACTGGTTGCAATCTTTACAGGTGCTTTTTGCTTTAGAAGCAGGAGTGCTGAGTGTGTTAGTGTTCTCCTATAGTTTGTGTAGCTATAGAATAGAACTGACAGTAAAGTAAAACAGCAGATTATCATGGACTTGAAATAATCAATCACATGATCTTCCAAATCATTATAATTGTCAGCTTGTCACATGCTTTAGTGTTATTAGTACATCAAACTAAATTCATATGACTGTATTTTAATTGAAGTGCGTCCACAGAACCTTTTTTAGTACCTCCCTTTATTTCCCTGAACAAACGTCTCTTTTTTTCTGTGCTATCAACGTGATGCCAACGGCAGAGAACATTTCACATCACCCTCTAGCATTTGATTAACGGAATAAAATATGTCTGTAAACATTTTTTTAGTTGTTTGTGCACTTTGAAAAATAATGTAAGTGATTCTCTTCAGGTTGATTTAGAAATGTCCATTTCTCGAACATTGATGCTTTTGGTGTAATAAAGGAAGCTGGAGAAAACCTACATGGACTGTGGCAAAACATAAAATGATTTAAGTTAGGACAATGTAATTCATATAAATTGACTTTACAAGTTAATCAGTTGTAGATGTGCATTCAATGATTCCTTTCTGTGAGTTTCCTTAAAATCTGTTCTCTGGGTAAAGAGGGTACATTTTCAAGGTTCAAGGTGACTATTGTCATTCACATCACACGTGGTACATGAGGTGGAACAAAATTGTGTACTCATGGTCCCAGTTACACCCAAAATATCAAAAATATAAAGTATAAAAAGAAACAATAGATAAGGACCATACTAAACAATAATAATGTAATATAATACAGTGTATTAAACAGCATCCTGAACATGAGTCTGTTGTGAGCAGATGGGTATGAATATAACTGCTTATGGGTAAGAAATCAGCAGTATGGGTAATCAGCAGCACAGATAAATAGACAAATATCCAATTAAAGTGGAATTACAGTGATTTTTTCTGGTTAGAGATTCATGAGTCTAACAGCCTCAGGGTAGAAGCTGTTCCTCAGTCTAGTGGTTCTACACTTAATGCTCCGCAGCCTCCTTCCTGAGGGGAGTGGGGCAAAAAGTGTGTGCTGGGTGAGTGGGGTCCTTCATGATGCAGGTGGCTCTCTTCCTGCATTTGGAGGTGTAAATGTCTGTGATGGTGGGGAGGCTGATTCCGACAGATTTCTGTGCAGCCTTCACCACTCTCTGCAAAGCTTTTCTTTCTGCAGCTGTGCAGCCTCCATGCCACACATTGATGCTGGAGCACAGGATGCTCTCCACTGCACACCTGTAGAAGGAGGTGAGGACTGAGCTTCCCAGACCAGCTCGTCTCAGCCGTCTGAGGAAGTGGAGTCTCTGATGAGCTTTCTTGATCAGGCTGGTGGTGTTGTTGCCTCAGCTGTTGTTATTCAGATGTACACCCAAATACTTGTAGCTGGAACGCAGTTCCTCCTATGTGCGCGGGGGGGGGGGGGGGGGGTTTGCTCCTTCTGAAATCCACAATCATCTCCTTCGTCTTCTTCACATTGATGTGGAGATTGTTCTTCCTGCACCAGCTCTCCAGGTGTTCCACCTCCTGCCTGTAGCTGGACTCATCGTTGTTTGTGATGCATCCCACCACCGCTGTGTCGTCTACAAACATTACAATATGACAGCCTGGATGGGTAGGTGCACAGTCATATGTGAGCAGAGTGAAAAGGAGGGGGCTCAACACACATCCCTGAGCAGAGCCAGTGCTGAGGATTATGGTGAAGGAGGAGAAGTTGTAGATCCTCACAGACTACAGCCTGTTGGTTAAGAAGTCTAGGACCCAGTTGCATAGGGAGGAGGTTAGTCCTAGTGTGAGTAGTTTGTCCATCAGGATCTGGGGAATCATGATGTTGAAGAAGTCTTGGTGGGTGAGAGCAGTGTGGACCACAGAGGAGATGGCATCCATTGTTGATCAATTCTTGCAGTATGCATACTGGTGTGGGTCCTCGCTGATGTCAAAGGTTGCTTTGATGTGGGTCATGATCAATATTTGATGCATATGTCCTATGTCCAACAAATACGGTATGTTTTATTTCCCACACACGACATTAGTTCAGTTGATGAAAACATGTTTCAAGATTCTTTTTCCAATCTGCTAGAAGGAGAGTAATCAGCTGTAGATATGTAGTTCAGGGACCAAATCTAATTTGGCAATTTTTGACATTTGACAATTGAATTGACAAATTTTACAAACTGGTATGAACAACAAACACTGATGATGATTAAAAAAGATTAAACCTTTATTTAAGTTGTAAAGAATATTGTAAAGAATAAAAAACAAAAGTAAAGCTAAATGTTTTCCAGTATTATTTAAAGAGCTGTGTAATTTGAATGGTCTCTTCTGCAGGAGGGTCACACAGACAGCGGGCTGGGTTTAAATCAACAGCTACCCACCACTCCCAACTTCAGGTGAGAAATAAACAAATGATGCATATATGTGATGTTCACGTATTATCTATATGGGGGTCATCACTCTTTTCTTTCTTTATGAACTGTCACATCAGCCAACTGCTGCGATCCAAGAGCAAAGAGTCAGTGGCCTCAGAGTCATCCAATCAGACGAGTGGATATCATTCAGGGTACCATTCCGATGACACAGACACCCCAATCTACGCTAATGAGGAGGTGATCATGAAGTACAACATGCTGAAGAAACCTCGGTTGCCCAAGACACCTGAAAATTTCAACACAGAGATCCGCTACAGCACTCCACCTGTCTGACCGCTCGTGTCCCCACTGACTTTACCCAGAGTCCCCTCACTGTACAGTATTTGTTCACCTGCCACATGTTTTACACTCCAGGACCAATGACCCAATAGGGATACTAGAGGTCTGGAGATATTTTTCCAACAGAAAATCTAATATGTAACAGGGTGAAAGGAAGGTCGTATGATACGTTTTTGTGGACCTGAAAAAAATGGTATCATGTTTACTCAGTGAGTACAATGTCTAAGGAGCCCAAACAGGAGGGCACGGCCACTTCCTGAAGTGTAATCCACTCACTTCCTCTATAACAGGAAACAGCATCTGGAAGTTCAGATAATTGAAGCTGCAAGTGTTTTCTTTCAATTCTTTTTCTTTTATTTTGTGTGCCCATGTTGGCACAGCGAATAGCTTTTTGGAGAAAAGTTCTCAAATCGTATCAATGTTTCTAGAAGCTCTTCATACAGTTGTTTTACTCATATTACTGACAGTATTTTTTATTAAACATGGGATTACTAAACATGCTTTTAATGTAAGTACATGTTTTAATGAAATACCCACAGATTAAAACAATTTGTTATCCTTTGTTCTAACATTTTTTGTTTGGCAATGAAGGTTCCTAGCTCTGTTTGTTCATGATAATCCATGAGTGTGTTTATCCGTTACTTTATAGTGAAAATGTCTCATTTCCTTTTTGTGTTTAGACAAAACAATGCCTTTTCAGCCTTGGCCATTCTATCTCTCTCTTATTCTCTTATTGTGTGTGTGTGTGTGTGTGCGTGCGTGTGTGTGTGAAACAGAAACTGTATTTTCAACCTTAGGTGTTTTCTTGGGCTCGTTTTAACCAACAAAGGCCAGTGGGTTAAAAGTTATAACAACAAACATAATAAAAAATATATGTAAAATTCAGCTTTCAAAAGTCAATAAATAGGAATTTTCACACAGAATTAGGAAGAGTTTATGGATCGTCTTTGCTGCCATCACTGAAGCTGGGCCTAAAAGCTTAAAGGTATGCATTCAGACTGAGTGGGTGATGAATGAGAAGCCCGAGAACAAAATGTGTTTTGTCTGCAATCAAGGACAACAAGCATGTCTAATATTAGCATGTAAAAAAAAAAAAAGACTCAGACTTCCGGAGATTTTTTTTTAAACTTCCACACATTAGGCTAATTTTAGAAAGTCCCCCCATTAAAGAAACAGTTTAGGACATTTTGAATTTGTGTTATGTGGAACTGTTGTAAGCAACAAATTGGTTTTGGTATAAAGTTTATTCATTTAAAAAAATACTAAACAATTCCATAACAATATAAAAAGATACAAGAGATTTAAAATGAAACGCAGCAGAAAGAAGAAAAAATCTTATTATATCTGCCCCTTTTTTCAAACAATTAGTTCAATCATAATAATTTTCAAGTAACAGTACAAAATGAATAACTCTGTAGTGACTGTAATGATTTCTGGTGATAATTCTTACAGCTCTTTTCTGTTAAATAAAAATAGGCTTTGTAAATGTTTTACACGCTTTCCCCCAAACATCAATGCAATAGATTAAATGTGGAACAATGATTGTGTTATACAACATGTACAGAGCTTTATCATTTAATAATTCCCTGACTTTGTATAGTACTGCAATAGATTTAGATATTTTTGTTCTTACAGAATTGATGTGATTTTTCCATGTTAGCTGTTCATCAATGATTACACCCAAAAATTTCATCTCATTAACTCTACAAATCTCAACACCCTCAATTTTAAATGGATCATCAACAGTTTTCTTTTTGTTACTAAATATCATGTATTTAGTTTTATCTAAATTTAATGATAATTTATTAATTTTAAACCAAGTTTGTATTTTATCAAATTCTGTCTTCATCAATTCCAACATCCGTTTTACATCTTTACCCAAACAAAAAAATGTGGTGTCATCTGCAAAAAGGACACATTTGAGGAGTCCTGATACATTCACTAAGTCATTCACATATAAAATAAATAACTTTGTTCCAAGTACAGAGCCTTGAGGAACTCCACAAGTGATATTGCACAGGTCAGATCTTACACCATTCATTTGTACAAACTGTTTCCTATCTTTTAAATAGCTAGATACCCAGTGTAATGCTGGTCCTCTTATACCATATTTATTTAATTTTTCAAGGAGAATAGTGTGGTCAATAGTATCGAATGCTTTTTTTAAATCAACAAAAATACTAACACAATACTGTTTTTGATCAACAGCAGTAGTTATTTGTTCTATTATTTCCATGAGAGCCATTGATGTAGAGTTTTTTGCTCTAAACCCATACTGACTGCTACTTAGTCTTACCTATAGACTTTTTTAGTTTTTAGGTTGGAAAAACAAAACATCAAAGTTTGCTAAAGGGCATGTGTTTTGGTCAAGAGCTTCATGGGAACTGGCACTAACTGAGATCTCTTCAACGGTGGTGTTTTCTTTGCCACGTGAAGATTAGCTTGGTGAAGAATCAGGACAACAGTTGTATACAGTATCCTGATGCAAGCTCAATAATCCAGGTAGAAAAATCTAAAAAAGTTAAATCTGGTCCTCTGGACATTCATTCATTCATACGTATAGTTGTTTACAGTATATTGTATGTAATCTTAACAACTAAGGCTTCTAACTAACCTAAGAATATGCTAAACACTAATAGTACAAAAACAATATGCCTAAGTACACATCACCAAGCCTGGTGTTCTTAGGTCAGATGTTGCAGCCGGCCTCAATGGACTAAAATGCTGGAGAAAAATATTCTTTCTTAATTTTGCTTAAATAAAAGACCCACATTCAATGGCAGGAGAAGATTTTTAACCAGCCTTTTACTTGCAAGTACTCATTCAAGACAGATTACATACAAAGATACATAATGCTTGGATCATCAGAGTCAGAGTTTCTTTATTGTCATTCGCACCTCATGTGGTACATGTGGTGGAGCGAAATTATGTACACAGGGTCCCAGTTACATCCAACAATAAAATGTATAAGAAAAACAGTAATAACATCTAAGATATGAACTAAGAAAAACATCAACTAAATATACACTAAGCACTCATAACATAAAACATTGAACATCAGCACAAACATGAACATGAGTCTGTGAGCAGATGTGCACGCATGAACACATCAACATTGAAACAGATCAGCAGCAACATGAAACAGATCAGCAGCAACATGATATGGTTTTTCACAGTGATTATTCTAGTTAGAGATTCATGAGTCTAACAGCCTCAGGGTAGAAGCTGTTCCTCAGTCTAGTGGTTCTACACTTAATGCTCCACAACCTCCTTCCTGAGGGGAGCGGGGCAAAAACTGTGTGTGCTGGGTGAGTGTGGTCCTTCATGATGCAGGTGGCCCTCTTCCTGCATCTGGAGGTGTAGATGTCTGTGATGGTGGGGAGACTGACTTCGACAGACTTCTGTGCAGCCTTCATGTCACAGAATGAACGTTGAATATATTTTTAATGCTCTATTAATCCCCAATGGGAAAATTAATTCTCTGCATTTTTCCCATTGCACATGTGAAGCAGTGGGCTGCCATCTAAAGGTGCCTGGGAAGAAGCTGGGTGGGTTGGGGGGTTAAGGGCCTTGTTCATGGGCCCAGGGTGGGGCAACTGAGGGTGGAGGAAGGTGTGGGTGTTTAACCTTTTCCACCCACATTTTGATGTTGTCGGTCTGGGGAGTTGACGGGCGACCTTCCAATCACATGCCAACCCCCTCTAGCCGCTGCGCCACCACTCCGCACTAGAATAAAAAAATTTAAAAAATAAAATTCCAAAATACTTTATTAATCCCAAAGGGAAATTATTTGTTGTAGTAACTTGTTATCCTCATTTCATTAAGAGATGTTATAGATGCTGATGCTGTAGACAGGATGGATCTCTTGTAAAGGTCCATCCCACAGTGGATCCTAAGAAACTGGCTGCAGATGCTGTCCGATTCGTCCACCCAGACTCGGCTGGCCTCTTGGTTCCTCCGAGCTGTAGGACCACCTGAATGCTGGGCAGAACTCCTCCCAGAGCGATGGCCACTCCTCCCAGCAGTCTGACGAGCTCCTCGTCGCTGCAGACAGCTAGCTAGCTGTAGGTGCCGAGGGGCGATCCTGTCCTTCCGCTGTCATGAGCCGTGTTTCCTGCTAGTTCCAGGATCTCAGTGGTCAGACACACGAGCACAGCTGGCAGGTAGATGAGAATGCATCCACAGAACATCCTTTTCAACTCATTTGAGATTTGGGGCTGTAGTTGAGACATTACTTGATCTTTTGAGTTGTTAATCAGCTGCTGGTTGTAGAAAACTGCCTTGTTGCCATGGTTACGCATCATAACAAGTGTCCAAAACTAAAAAAGTTTCAGTAAAAATCCTTCCAGCTGCACAGCATCTGATACCAGAGGAAACAATCATCCAAAAAATGTGATTTACATCCAGAAAAATATGAATTAAAGTTTCCAAAAGCAAAATCTCAGAATGAAAGTAACAGAGCTGCTCCAACATGCTGCCACCTTGAGCGGCACAGTTCTAGAACTATTCTAGAATTGCTTGCTGCAGACTTTTATACAGTAGCAGAATCTAGCGAGCGTTCCCTCCTATTGCCAGCTGCAGCCAGATACATAGACATGAGCCATAGCAGTGGGCGAGTCCACCTCCAGATGGAAAGAAGAGAATGTTTTAGGCATGTTCTTATGGCGTCAATGCCAGTCAAGCACTGCTAGTCGGAGAACCTGATCTTCAGGCCGGGACAAGAGAATGTTTTGTGCATGGATTACTAAAGCAAGAGGGAAAAATGTTCTCAGTCATCCATCCATCCATTATCTTTTACCCGCTTCTTCCATTTTTGGTCACGGGGGTCGCCGGTGCCCATGTCCAGCAATCACTGTACAAGGGGCGGGGTACACCCTGGACAGGTCTCCAGTCCATCACAGGGACACATAGAGACAAACGAGACAAACAACCATTCACTCTCTCACTCACACCTAGGGACAATTTAGAGTTACCAATCAGTCTAACATGCATGTTTTTGGTCTGTGGGAGGAAACTGGAGTACTTGTGGGGTGGCTGTGGCTG